TGTAAGATGTTAAATCTTTTTTTGGAATACCTCCACCAATTGATGCAAAGTATGTACCTTTACTCGAAAATATACACATCACTCCTTGCAATAATTTGATCTCGTATGTCCGTTAAGGTCAAAATTCAAATCTTTTAAGGTTAGGTATTAAAAGTTCGTACACACTGCGCATATCGCGTTCCATTTAAGCGTGGCAAACTGTGTTTGAGTGTGTTATACTGTGTCGGTTTGTGTCTCCTAAAAGGAAAGCAGCCTTATATGTCTATGGTCTTAAGTAATGTCTTAAGACTCTAATACAGCCTTCTGATTGGTTCGTGACTTCTTAAGACCGTATTTAAGACGGTCTTGAATATAAGATTTGACTATGAATACCAGCCTTCAAGTTTGTTTGAACTCACGTGCATCTGGAACTGATTTTCTTACTCGGATGACAGAAAATAGATTTTCTAAGGCGTCTTGCGTAAATCTGCCTAATAATAAAAAGTGGAACTTTTCTTTCTCTAAATACTCTATTTGCAAATCTAATGCCGTTTGTGTACAAAGTAATAAGCCACTTTGGAATGGTTTCCATTTTGTATCTCCGACTGTAATTCCTTGAATAATATCCATAAAATCTTTAAGAAATGTGATAGTATCTTTGTAAACATCTTCATTATAATAAGACAATGCGAGCTTCTGATATCTACTAGTCATAATTTTGAACCATTTGTATATAGTTTTGAGAAACCAGGCAGTGGTTTTATGTACATCAGCAATACGCTTATTGGCTATATGATATAGTATAGCGGCAGCAACATTAGGCGTCGTCTACAATACACGGAGTAAGAAGTAAGAGTAAGAAATTGAGCAATCACAGTCGATTATTCTTCTCACATTCGACTGTGATTGGTCAATTTCTTACTCTTATTTCTTACTCCGTGTATTGTAGACGGGCCTTTATCATTTAATACTCGTAAACTTAATGCGACATTCATTTTACCAAAATGCGATAGATTAATGGCGTTTTCCGTCAGACATGGACACAGTTTCAATGTATCATTTTTATCTAAATTATATACCTACTTCGCGAATGGGTACTATCGAAATTTCATTGTGTGATAAGTTATGTTTTCTGACAAGCGTTTCATCTAAATAAAATTTATTACCAGCTGTTAACGAACATACAACGTTTTTGAAAACATGAACTGAATCTGGCATAACGAATAATTTCTCTTTATTATTGCATGGATGTGGAATGTAATTATTCATCTTACTGTATTTATTAACTATAATAATATTCATATTTTTCCACCAGCTTCTGTTCTGTGCTCCCATATCAGAAATTATTACTTTTACTTTTAATCCAATATTGTGAGCTTTTTGAATAATTGCTATAATAGTTTGAACAATCTGTTGAGAGCAAAATGAATTAGCTGTAAATTCATACCCTATTGTCTGTTTCCATTTACTGGAAATACCACACAACATGAAAACAAGAGCATGAGTCGCTTTTTCATGAGAGCTATCAAATCCACCTGAAAGATTCATAGTGGGCCGACCACCTGCTGAAGTAATGGAATGATCATACTGCAAGCCAGGTTTAATGGACATTTCGTCAATGATAAGTACAGCATGTTTCTCTAGAGGATTAAATGTTTCTACCTGAAGCGAAATGTAAAAATGTGAAAAGCAAATGATAATTACATATTGGTACAAATGCGATTGGTCAGTTTCAATAAACTAAATGTCGATTAAAGTTAATCGGAGTTAATCTGACGGTAAAGGTGCAATCTACGGTGTTCACCTCAAAAATCGATAAAATTATACTCATTCGACGCGTTTTTGCATGAAACGAAAGAATCTGGCAGGTAAAAGTGTCGCTCTGCCCC